GCTGTAATGAAAGACATAAAATACTCAAATACACTATTCATATTCCAATAAAGAATATTTGCTTGAAGATACAATAGTGCATGAAATATAAAAAATTTATGATTATATTTTTAATTCAGAATAAGTAAACAAAAATTACAAAAAAACGCTTGTATATATATATTTTTTTACCGTTGGAGTAGAATGCAATGCGCTGAAACGCTCATTCGCGAGCGCACGTGTGAAAATAATAATAATAATAATAATAATAAGTTTTATTCACACAACACTTGCGGTACATCAAATGACGGGTTCGTCAAAGCCTATAGTGGCTTGTATGACTGAGCCCAGCAAGTCAGCCTCTCCCCCAAGTAATCTATACATGATTTTATTTTTAAGTTTTCGTTTTGCACAGTTGTACATTTTCATGCCTTCCCTCAACGACATTAATATTTTCATGGTTTTAAAAAGCTTTTCAGCCCTATATGACATTCCTCCTTTCTCCGTAATAGAATAAAATAAAGATGTTTTCCCCTCCTCTTCGAGAGAGAACATTGCGCGCCAACCACCTGACAAACCAGGCACCGGCCCTTTCGTGTATTAATGGAGCTCAACAACTCTTCCACAACAAACCTCTCTAATACCGGACACGAATAGCAATATGTCGAAAGTCATGTTTAAACTCAGACTTGAACTTTGTGTAAACATTTCACTTCTCGTCTTCAACAGATCGGCCGCGTGAGTAAAACTCCAAAAGTAGCCCGAGCTAGATTCGATGTCCAAAACAAACAATGTTTATAAAAAAAAAAAAAAAAAAAACATTATAAAGGCGTTTGTGTACAACAAATGTGACTGCACCAAATGTCGAAAATGAGGCTAGAATGTGCACTATTTTTCTCAATATTATTAGCGCTCCTTTTTTACGGATGTCATAGTGGTCACAGCCGGCTTGTGTCTGCGCTTTCCGCTCTTGAAGTTGTTCCAGCTGCAGAAGGATACTCAACTCGCAGCACTCGGCTATAAGAACCGTGCGGATCTAATAGCGAGTTCGTTCCACACGCACTGGCACCGTTCGAGCTCTCTCCCAGAATGCATCGCACTCGCAGAGTGTTGCACGGAAAACTGGACTCGAGCGAACTCGCCGAATGCACCGAGTGTAGAAGACTGATGCTGCCGCCATCTATGATGTAGAAAAGGTACCGACTTCAAACCAAAACTAGAGCCTTTCTGTTCGGAGTGATGCGTGGGAATGTGAGAATGCAGTCGCTACCAACGTTTATCTACAAACGTTGGTCGCTGCAACCTGTAGTTTATAGTTGCGATGACTTCAAGCAGCTGGGCTGCCATAGAGATAATTACAGACGGCGTAAATTTCCGCAACCAGCTGTCTACAAAGCAGCTGGTTGCGATCTTTCAATTCTTATAACCGTTTACACTGAAGGAAACTGATGATGCTGTCCGAGCAGAAGCTTGATCCGTTTGAGCATGGTATATTATGCGTGAACTACTAAAAGGGCACGGCTTAAAACTAGTCTGTTGGAATATCCAGCAAAACGGGGACTTTCGATTTGGATCGTCATTATAGGTGGATTAGATATTAGCCTCGGTGAGGGCGTCGAGAACGAGAGCTTTCTTGAACAAAATACGACGGGGCAAGTTCGCTGACGTAGGTAAATGTTAAACATGATGGTGTTGCCCAATCCGCGGGTAAAGTCTCCATCTTTAGCTTTCTCTGATGCTTATTGGGCAGTCAGAGGTTTCTGCTCGGGGAGTTTTGTCGACAAATGTAAAATTTTTCACCCGCACACGGATGGTGATAGACATCTCGGGGGCCGCTGTTGTGTTTGTTTTGAGCATTTCTTTACACACTGGTATATTTTAGCGTTTGTACGGCAACAGAGCGATTTAAAACCTGCAAATAAATCACGGGTTGTCAATTGCTTCCTTCGTGAAATAGCAGACGCTCACAATTCAAGCTCGCGTTTGATTTCGTTGCCCGCGGGACGCGATTTCTATCAGAAAATCTTCTTTTTTTTTTCTTTTTTTTTTTTCCGTTCGGTTCCACGACACATTGTAGCAGACGAACCCTCGTCGTCTGCTCCCGCTCCTCGCCGGCCCCACCGGAGCGAGGCATGGCGGGATTGCATTTTGGCGCACTCCCGATTTTCTCGGTGCAGCGAGTGCATGCACGCGTGGGGTGTCAGCGCTGAAACGAACTCGGAGAGTGCAACCACTCGTGGAGTGCCGGGCGAAACGAACCCGTTCCAAGCTGCGAGTGGGCACGCGTGGGCACGAGTGCCGTGAAACGAACTCGCTATGAGTCTATAATTCAAGCCCCGACCAGGGCGCCCCTAGCGGCAAACGGGTCCGTTGCATCGGGCATCTTCTGCCAGTCGCTGCGTTGGTTGTACGTTGTAGTGGGTTAGCGCTGTAATTTGTGAGATGGCTATTCCGCACCAAGAAAGCCGCAACATTGCTGCGTGGTCGGCAAGATCGCGCACGGCACGAAATACTACATCGTCCCTTCGAAGCCGTACGAGGCGGAGTACTGCGCGACCTGGGTACGACTTGTGCGTCCATACAGGTTAGTGGTGTTTCTTAACTTCCAGTTCGCGCTTTGTTTAAGCTGCTGACGAACAATACAATTAACTTTTTTCTCTTCTAGCGACGATGGAACAGCATCGACACCGACAGCAAACTCTAAAGTATGCAGCAAATACTTCACCGGAATCGAGAAGCGGAATGCGGTCGCCCTCCTAAGCCTACCGTTGGATGTTTCCATCAGCCTACAGGAAGATACTGGGAATCGCGGAACGGCGCGAAAAAAAATCGCCCAGTTATTGTCAAGCTGATTCAGAAATAAATGTACGTAATTACCGCGGTCCACTCAACGCCAACAAAATGTTTTTGCGGGCGCGCTTAATTTTGTTTGCAGAGTACGGCGCTCCGTGACATCCACTTGTCCGTCGAAACGGACCTCCTTCACGTCGCACACGCGGCCAGATTCATGAAACAGTTTTCTCTTCGTCATATTGGCACCACGGAAGAAGCTTTCTGGATTCGTAACCGCCTTAAACCCCGTCGTAATCACTCCGGGAACACTGTCCGCTCTGCTGCTAATCGCCACTGCTTCCCCCCGATGATTCTGCACCGGCTACCGAAGAAGCTTTCCGGATTCTTAGTCGCCCACTGTCCTCTGTGCTGTTCGTTGCTATTACTTCGCGATGATTCTGAGCCGGCGGCACCGGCTTCCGAAGGAACTTTCCGAACATGTAACTGCCTTAAATTCCGTCGTAATCACGACGGGGACACTGTCCGCCGTGCTGTTGGTCGCCATTGCTGCCCGATGGTCCTGCGGCGGCTACCGCCAGGTCGCGGTGAACAATAGGTGACCGCCGCGACACGGCCGGCTTGCGTGCTGCGAGCATAAGTAAGAATGTTTCACGTGACACTATTTCTCTCGGCACAGAGCTCGCGCAAAAGCACCTTGATGTAGCTGGCCTCCATTGCTGCCGGGGAGCGGATATTTTTTTGTTTTCTCTCGAGGTTTTCCGGCACTATTCCTACAACCTACCGCGGATCACAGACTACTACCCATTGCAAGGTAACTTTTAACCTTGAAGCTTTGAAAAAATAATCTGGATCGCTGGCGCCCGGCAAGCCACTTCGCGGCTGCCCGTGTCGCTCGTCCGCCTGCCCGCCGGTGACGTACACGGGCAGAGAAAAATAGGGATTTTTCATTGTTGCCAGAAAAGAGTCGCCTCCTGAAACCCTCGCGGCAAGGTGGCCAGATGCGGCCGAGCGAATAAGCAAATAGTCGTCCCCAACCAAGCCAACAAAAAGCGGCGTGACCTTCGTAAAGAAGCCCAAAATAAGCGGAAGTTCAATAAATGTATATATTCTTAAAAACAATTTATTAATAATAAAATGAGAAAGGGAACTGGCTCAGAAGGCGAAATTGCTCAAATACGAAGTCAGCGTGCCATGCCAGCTTGAGCTCCAGTTCTGGTCTCGTTCTTGGAGGCAACGACCTGGTAAAGCCCGTGGTAGTCAAACGTGCACTGGAAAGTGGCCGAGAGTTAATCACGTGTTTTCCTGTTGCCATCTGCTGAACGAGGTCGGCATGCTGAGCGCGGATCTCGCACTTGCACGCTGCTTTTTTATCGTCTCCGGTGCCAGTTTACAATATCTATTGCCATACTTCGACCACTTCGAAGCCATTTTGCGCAAAATACAATGGCAACTAGACACGACGACCGCGACTGCCGACTGGCAAGATGGGCAAGGCGACAAAAGATTTGTGAAGGGATAGTAATTGTTATGCACTTTGTGACGGACGGTAGCTTGCGCCACCTAACCGCGGCGCCAAACGGTCATTCTGTTTTTCGCGTTTTTGACAACAACCGCGCTGTCAATGAGCATGACGACCAATAAAATAACAATATTTGCGGGAAAAGCGCGAATAAGCCCAAAAAGCGACAAGCGACTGGAAAAATCTACCAGCGACTCGGTGAAAAAAGAAGCCCAAATCCGCTTATAATAAGCGGAACTGGCCACCCTGCCTCGCGGCCGCCGTAACTTGAAAAGTCAACAACTTCACGGAAAATGTTTATTTTTATTAAAATATTTGGGCTATCAGTTGAGAAAGTGTTATTAGTGCGGTCTGTCAATTTCCAGCCAAATCGAAGACTATGAAAAAATCGGCGGAGTTCTTCTTTAACAAATGGTTTTCGTTTTTTTTTTTTCTTTTTTTTTTTTTCGTCGGTCATTTTTCTTGCAGTATAGCTTTTGTCTATCAAAATAATATGATGTTAAAAAAAATAATTGTATGAAATAATGTTGCAGCGACGAAACCGAAATGGCGGGAGAGTGCAAAAGTTCAGGCGGTGGCTAAGCGCAAACTAAGTTTGCATTTTAGAAGCTATCCAGGCGCACAGATGCTGCGAATACAGATAGCGCACTTGTCGCCTGTTCCAATTTTTGCTAGTTGCAACTGCATAGGCAAGGGAAGCTCATCTCACGTGGTATAGGAATGGCAGGACACTCCATGGCTTGACCCGGTCTCCAGGCTAAGACAAGCAGGAGGCTCGACACGGCGACGGAAACCTTCCCACTCATGACTCCGAGTCTCAAACTTCTCCAACGTATACACGAGGCGTCCGGTAACTCTATCATACCACCGTGTTCCGATTATACTGAAAAGCTCCCGTTCGCGAGCCTCTTTTTACGTTATATTTTTATTCGCTAGAATCGTGGTCATTAATTATATTTTCGATCGTAATGCGCAGCCACGGCTGAGTCTACGAAATTACTTATACGGTAGCAGAGCCAACAGCCGCTTTCGAATGCGAGCTAGCGAGCGATCTGCTATATTTTTTTTTGTTTACGGTGAACTGCGGACGATGCTACGAAACCATCTAAGCCCGTCCAATAGCGTGTGACGTGTCACGTGATCATCGGGTCGGTGAAGAGCGACGCGCGAAGGGAGGAGTCACGTGACACGAATACGGCGTTTGATTGGCTGGAATGGCTCGTAGCGTTTGCAGGCGGTCCGTAGCAAGGAGAAACGGAGTGCTGGGACAGGGTCGGCTATAGGGATGGTGCAAGGGCGAATGGAAGCTAAACCGCCGCTGTGGACTGTATGAGTTGGATCTGGCCGCATCGAGAAATTTCTTACCTTGAACTTATGAAACCTTAAGTAGGGAAAGGAATGTGCACGTTCTGCGAATTACCGTTAGGAGGAGATTACGAAGTTTTAGTAGATTGTTCCGATACCCCCGAACGCGATACACGATGCGTATCGGGTGATCGTTATCAGAGTCTTTAAAACGATGGACTCAAACTCTCTATCAAAGGAACGGTTTATAATACGATGATTACAGAGAAGAGCATTTCGCTAAGTTCTAATGGCTCAATTACTCAATTTCTAAGTGAGAGATAAAAAAAGGAAATAAACTGTTTCTCTCTACCTGCACCACCTGACGGTATAACAGGTTTGATCCAATATAATATAAAAAATGAGGGCCGTAATTGACCAAACGTTTCTTTAGTCCTCAAAGCCAATTAAAAGAAAAACAGGGAGACAGCTGAACTTTGGCGTTGGAACGAACTTGGAGAATCTTGCGAGCAATTATGAGTATTTGTGTTTCGTTTTTTTTCTTTTGGTATTAAGTTATTAAATGTTGTTCCGCTTGGTCCTGCCTCTTGTCTTCTGTGTTCTTGACGACGAGGAAGTTGTCTTCTTTAAAATTTTCGTACTGGAATATATAAGAAAATGAATTGGAAAGAATGTTAAAATTTTATTCTCTTTTAATGATTTTCTTTTGTAAATTAGTTATGTATTTCTACGTATCTTGGCGTTCTCATGTATGTTTTCATTTTATTTCTTATTTGTCTGTCACCTTAATTTTTTTCTCTTTTTTTTAGGGGGGGGGAGTGGTAGGAGGGAGCAGGGAGCATTGTAATTTTTCGTTGTTTTTGATTTGATGGCTGTGAGAAAGAGAGAAGATATATATTTCATGAAGAAATTGTAAAAGTCGATATTTTAGCATTTAGAGGGCCAGCGCCGGCTACTGGCCAGACCAGACTTGGGAAGTAATTCATTACAAGTAACGGATTACTTCTACGAATACAGTCGAGCCCGGTTATATCATACCCGGGTATTTCGAATTATTGCTTATATCGAACAGTCCAGACATCCCCTTGAAAATCACATGTAATAGTATAGGAGCGTTGTCTTTTTGTGTCGAACTCCCATGGACTCCCATGGCGGGGACACTCGATATAGCGAACGAAGCACGGCGGCCCTTCGCTATGGTGGCTAGAGGGGGAGGTGGCGCCAGCGCCTATTCGCCGCGGAGAAAAGAGCGCGTCTTCCGTTCATGCCGCTGCCGCTGGCGACCGCTGTGGCGCACCTGTCGGCTCTTCGACGGCGTGCAGGCAGGCGTGCACGGACCTGCTCGGACCGCAGTGGCTGAGTCCATACCTCGCTTCGTGCGTACTCGGTTGGTTTCATCGGGGCCACGGTCGCCTCGAAATCGCTTTTGTTGCTCTACGGTCGCCCGCTGTGATCTTTCGAAAGTTGTGCACGCAGCATCGACTCATCGCCGGCAATGCGTTCCTGACATCTAAGTACTGTTTTATTCTGCGCAAATGGCACCGGCACCGAAAGTGAAAAAGGCTACGCAAACTCACTGCTTCGCCCCCGGCTGTACATCAGGGTATGTGTCGTCGAGGCAGTCTGATCGGCGAGTATCCCTGTTTGCCGCGCCGAAGGACCCAGAACGTTTTGAAGCCTGGCAGCGAGCAATCCCCCGTGCTGACAAAACACTCGACGCGCGCTCAGTGCTTTGTGATCTGCATTTTGATGAACAATTTATCGTGCGGGTTTTCACGCACGTAATCAATGGTCAAACCGTGACAATCCCACGCGATCGCCCTGTTTTGACGAGTGATGCGATTCCGACCATTTTTCCCAACGTGCCATCATACCTATCGAAGAAGCCACCGCAGAAAAGGAAGTCAAAAACGTCGAGCTGCGGCTTGCCTTCAAAGACCCTCCGACCAGAAGCCAGTACATCTTTGCCTGTCGAGGTATGTGGGACGGATGCTGAAGTAAACCACTCAAGGGCAGCACCTCCTGTTGACTTGCCGTTAATCTCCGACCTCTGGAACTGCGAGCTACCAAGCCCCTACTGGGCTAAACACCTTGTTGCTGGAGCTGACAAAGTCACGGTTTTCACTGTGTGCGCTCTTGATGGCCAGAGCCTTTGTTTTGGAAAGGTGGTGTTGGTCACTGCTAATGACCGAGCCGTTCGTGCCACCGTGTTCGTTCAAGCCACCGAGGTGAAGATTGTTGAGCTGGTCAATGTGGAGATGGCAGAAGAGCTGCTTCGGCAGGTGGATTCCTTGACTCCTTGCAAAGGCTTTGGTGAGAAAGGGGAGTTTCCCACAAATCCGAGGCGCAGGACCAAGGCCTGTGGTGGCAAGAATTTCAGTGCATCGTGCCCTGGAATTTCTCAAACACCAGGGAAACCTTGTCCACAGTGCAAGTACCTGAGGAAGCTGCTTCTCAACCAAGCTAGTTACAAGAAAAGAACCGTGAAAGCCCGGGCTCAGACGCCTTCATACAAAACAAAGCTGAGGAATGCCCAGCTGAAAAGGTGCAGGGTCAGCATCTCGAAGCTAAAATCAAAAATACACAATCTGAGACAGAAAAGTGCGGAAACGGACACATCTTCATTCGAAGACAAGATAAAAAACATGCCCGTTAAGCAGCAGCAGCAGATCAAGGCATGCCTTGCTGCATCAAGACGGAAAAGCACAAAAGGAATGAAGTACGAGAGTGAATGGGTGCTTGAGTGTGCTGTGATGTGTATGAAAAGCCCTCGCCTCTATGAGCACATTAGAAAAAACAAGATCATGATCCTGCCTTCTCGTACATCTCTGCGTCGCTACCTGAAGTGCTACAGAAGTGGCTTTGGTCTGAGTGAAAAGCTCTTTGCAGCTGTAGCAGAGAAGACCAGGTCAATGAATTCTTTTCAGTGCCATGGCGGCCTCCTGATTGACGAGATGAAGTTATCGGAGCACCTGAGACTCGCATCAGATGGAAACATTGAAGGTTTTGTTGATCTTGGCAAGTTAACGCCAGAGAGTCAGAAGACTCTGGGATGTGATCACGGCCTTGTGATCATGTTCCAGCCTTTTACTGGCAAGTGGCACCAGATCCTTGGTGTGTTTGCCTCCCACAGTAACGTGAAGGCAGAAACTCTCACTCAGATTATCCTGGAGGCCGTGATCATGAGTGAGAATGCTGGACTCCACGTGGACTTTATCACTTGCGACGGAGCAGCCTGGAACAGAAGCATGTGGCGTTCGTTCGGCATATCCGCAACAAAAGACAAAACGGTCTGCAGGAGGCAGCACCCCACTGATCCAGAACGGTTCCTTTATTTTGTGTCGGACTTCCCACACCTTGTGAAGTGCGTGAGGAACAGCTTTGTGCGGACAGGCCTGAAGACGCCAGAAGGGCATGCCACTGTTGACCATTTGGACTGTGCCCGTAAGTGTGATGAAAGACACGACACCACGCTGAAGGCTATGCCACATGTCAACAAGTCGGTCGTTCGGCCAAATGGCTTTGAGAAAATGAGAGTTAACTATGCCTTTCGGCTATTCAGTGACGAAGCTCTCCGAGGTCTCTTTTTATATGAAGACGAGATTGAGAGACAACATGGAAGTACAGCTGCCACTATCAGCTTCGTCGAAAGGATGCGAATGCTCATTGAAGCCATGACGTCCAAGTGCAGTTCAGGCGCGCTGAGACCTGGAAATATGCAAGAAGAGTGCATCAAGAGCTTCTTGGCCTATTTGGATAAATGGGAAGAAGCAGCAGGAGGACAAGGCTATCTGAGCCGCAGCACAGCTGAAGGACTGCGCGTCACACTGTCGAGCACCTTATCTCTGCTGAAGTATGTGACAAGCGAACTCCAATACCGCTACATAATGACATCCCGGATGAGCCAAGATGGGATTGAAAGACTCTTTGGCATTGTAAGGCAGATGTCGGGGTGCAATGACCATCCAACACCCAGCCAGTTCTTGATTTCCATCAACTGCCTGAGTTTTCAGAACCTGGCAAAATCACCACCTCATGGCAATGTGTCCAGTGGGCTTTTAAAGAGTCTCGTAGGGGTGGATGATGCAAAGGAGACAATGTCTCAGAAAAGAGTAGACGAGCTTCTAGACGTAGGAGACCTGACTGAGGCGTACAAGGTGCTTAGTGGTTGTGGTATTGAGCACACTGCAATGGTCGCACAAGCCAGCGATTCAAGGCTCATCTTTTACATTGCTGGCTACGTCGCAAGAAAGAGCATCGTTGGCACAAAATGTGATGAATGCTGTCATGAACTGCTTCAACGTAAGGACGGGCCTGCTCCAGCTTCAGCATGCCTCACCGCTGCGGTTGATCGGGGAGGTCTTGTGTACCCGTCAGCGAAGCTGAACGCGCTTGTGAGGTCGCTTGAGAACACCTTTACGTACTGTTTTAGTGTGAAGCAGGTAAGAAGGGAAAGCCTCATGGACCTAGTGTCCTTCATGCAGGTGACCAAGCTGACCCT